TTCAGCGCTATCTTCTGAATTAATTATTCCTGAACAAATCTAGTAAAATAAATGTACTGATTTTTCTCTCAGATCAGCCAGCTAGATCCTCAGATACTGCCGTCAGCCCAGTCCCTTCTATCCCATGAACCATTCTGCCGTTAGCATGCCCATATCTCGTCATTTTCTCATCGACCTATTCAGGGTGCATTCCAAGCGTGACACTATAATCGATTCATATTCGTCAGCTGGGGTACGTCACCCATCGACGAGCTTCAATCCTCAGAAAAACTGTCGTACTTGGGACTTCTTTTTGGAAGGAGGTCGTACCTCACTACTGGGAGGCTTATCATCTATCTGAAGGGTGTGAGAATTCCGGGGTAGAATAGACTTTTCATTGGATCTGCTGCCTTTCCCCAGAAGTCGACCCGTTTTTCTTCGTAAGTTGAAGGGAAAAGTGACCTGAAAAGAAGCACGTGATGTTAAGGTTTTGGTGGCGAAAAGGGTCGAATTTGAAGCGGGTTGTAGGGTGGGTTAGTGTAGGAGGGTCGAATTCCTCATTGAAGGGAGGGGCGCCTCCTCGGTTTTTCTAATTCAGGTGCGCTGTATATTTCCTCCCCCCCCCTTAACTCCGCTCGACTGCTTTTTTCGATGAAGAATTAAAGGAATTTCTGAAAAAATTCCGGATCAATAGTAGATGGTCGAGAAAACTCAAGATGGTTTGTTGGATGGAGGATTGGTAGGAGGGGGGGGGTTGTAGAGAGAAGGAAGAGGAGGGTTGAGAGGGGGGAGATTTTCTGCAAAAATTATCCCCAACGGCAGGACTTTCCACTTTCCCTGCTTGTCATTCCTTCTCCCAGTTCTGAACTTTTATCTGTGATCGTGTGGACTCATTGGCATTCGCTTGAACACCTGTTGCCTTTACTACATCGTCTTTGCCTCGTCAACTGCACGAGATCTTATGAAATAGATCCCATTTTATGTGTTCGATTTTAGTAGCCGTTTCGCAATCATAAGCCAGTGATAGATGTTGATTTTTATTGATACATTTGATTTCCAGGGTACCCAAATGGACGATGTCGCCGTTAGTTCATCGTACGAAGGAGGTCTATCGATGTTGTTGTCGGCATGCGCACCTCCACTCAGTCTCGACGATGACTTCGGTCTCGGATGGGATTGCTTTGATCGGAAAAACGACGTGAAAAGTGGTGGGTCTCTTGGTCGAATCAAGAAGGCCATTAAAAAAG